TTGTGCTGGGATTGCCCCAACCCAGGTGCAGGACCTTGCACTTGGCCTTGTTGAACTCCATGAGGTTGGCACGGTCCCACCTCTCCAGCCTGTCCAGGTCCCTCTGGATGGCATCCCTTCCCTCCAGCGTGTCACCGCCCCACACAGCTTGGTGTCATGTCACACTTGCTGAGGGTACCCTCAATGCCATCATCCGTGTCACTAACAAAGATGTTGAAGTTAGTGACTGAAAGCAAAGAGGAGGGAAAAACCCCCACATGGAATCCCAGAATGGGTGGGAAGGGACCTTAAAGCCCCCCCAGGCCCACCCCCTGCCATGGGCAGGGACACCTTCCACTAGACCAGGTTGCTCCAAGCCTCATCCAGCCTGGCCTTGGACACTCCCAGGGATGGGGCATCCACAGCTTCTCTGGGCAACCTGTCCCAGTGCTCCCCACCCTCTGCAGGAAGAATTCCTCCTGATCAGAAATAATCTAGGTTTTATCCAGCATTGTGTCAGGGAATTCAGGCCAAAACCGCCACTTGGGAACAAGACAAGCCACACCGGAACAGAGAACAGCGATCAGAAACAATGCTAATTGCCCGTGAGACCGCAGATAATCACCGAGAGCGTCTGCAGACTGTGCCTGCACGAACTTTGGGAAAAGCAGTGGGGCCGGGGAGGAAAACCTTGCAGCTGTGTTATCTGCTTGTTGACATTTGCAGGACCAGGGAGAGGCAGCTGAAGAGACACGCCAGGCAGCAAGGTGCCCCAGCACCCTCGCTGCTGCGCCCAACGGGGCGCAATGCTCCGAGGAACAAACCCAAGCAGCCCGCACAGTGGTCTGCGACCTTCTCCCCGGCGCTGACCGGAGCCGGAGCGGTGATGCAGAGGCGTTGGCCCAAGGCAGAGGTGAGGAGAAAGGGGAAGTTGCAACAAGGCAATTGAAAACATAGATGTTGGAAATCACAAGAGCAGGGTGGTTGCTCGCCGGACGTCACCAGATGGTGACCGGAGAAGGCGCCGAGCGCTCACGCTCTGCTCGGACACCCAAGAGTTACTCAACAATTCTCCAGAAACATAATGAAACCTTCCAGAAACGCTCTGGTTCCAGCAGAGATCACCTGGATCAGTGCCACAAGCGGTGATCTGCGGGAGCTCCCCCCCGCACGGATTACAACACCCCCCGGCTACGGCCGCCTCCTCCCCTGGCACGCGGGGGGACGTCCTCAGCGAGGCAGGAAAGGGCAGGAAGAGAGGTTTTTCAGAACAATTCGATGCTGCCCTGAAAAGTCTGGGCTCTCTGCCATCTTGGTCTTGATGCCACCTACTTTTCACAAGCCGTCGCTCCCGTGTTCCTCTTTCTTTACTTTTCCCTTTCAGCAGCGGCCCCGAGGCCTGATCTGAAGCCAGGAGCAGCACCCAGTCAGCCAGAAGTGGGCTTGAAACAGCTCAGTACTGGTCTTCCAGCTGCAATGCAGTCAGCTCCAGTGGGAGACACGTTTATAGGCTGCTAATGCCGAGGTTTCAGTCCCGTTGGTAGCAGAGGTTGAAAGGAGAAGGGAAGTGAAACGCCCCCGAGCGCCAAAGCTGGTACCTACGTGACCACCACAAGAACCAGGGATGGCAAGACACCCATCCCTTAAGCACAGACGAAGCGGGGTCGGGAGCCAGGCGCTGAGCAGGGAGGAAAACTTCCCGACAGAAGGCTCACGGGGCCAGCCCGCTCCGTAGGCAGGTGCGGTGGGGGTCCTGCAGGAGCCAACGGGCCTCCAACTGTGCGACCGCGCTGAAGGAGACGCGGCATTGCCCAACTGCCCCGTTGCCTGGCTACCGATGCAAAATAACGCGGCCGCAGCGCAACATCCTGTGGTCTGGGGCCGGGAAGCGAAAGGCGCCCTTTTCTGCGAAGTGCCGCGTGGGTCGTCATGGGGCTGCAAGCCCTCCGCCACCCGGGTCCGACGC